ACTAACTTCGTATAAAATTTTATCTAAGTCGTATAACTATATCAATTAGCTGCCATAAGAAAGATCGAAGAATATATATATACATATATTAGGTTGTTTGGTAATGACATACCGGTTTCTTTATTGATTTTTGACGACGATTTTAACATAGTTAGCATTGTCCGATTTAAGTGCTATATGTACCGTTGTCTTCGATGATTTTCTGTAATTTTGATGGTAACTTGTATATGCCTCTCCTAATGAAGTCCTTGTCCCTACTGGCAAAAAACTCGGCAATTCGATTTTCACAATCCGCCCTTAAACTCAATTTTTGTCCATCGAAAAAATTTTGCATTGCAAAAACAGATGGTAATCGCTTGGATGCATTAACAGTTTCCAACCAAGCTCCCGTAGCTTGTGACGCGCCACCAAAGATGTATGGGACCTGGTGTTGTCATGATGGAACACAACGCCCTAACGATTCACCATGGCTGGCCGCTTCTTCAATCTTCAATCGCTCCAGTTGTTCACAGTAGAGATCAGAATTGATGGTTTGGCCATAGGGAAACACTTCATAATGGATAATTCCTCTGATATCCCACCATACACTCAGCAACAACTTCTGAGCCGTCAGTCCTGGCTTTGCCACCGTTTGAGACGACTCACCGTGCTTCGACCAGGATCTTTTACGCTTTATGTTGTAATATCAGTTATCAGTTTTGTCAAGTGAACCGTCAATGACAACAGACGTGTTTTTATATCGCTCCGCCGAGTAACTAAAAATACTTCGAAAATAACCGAGTTTTATTTCACGTAAAGACGCTCAGGGTACGCATAGGTATTTCTCCTCATGTTGCCTTTATCTAATTACTAGAGGTCCTGTGTCCGCTTCGCTGGTCAACACAATTTAACAACATAATAATCCATGTTGCAACATTTTTCAAATATATGGAAGTATAGAAAGATGGTGATTTAACACTTTTCCAGTTTGACTTTTCCACTTGCGCAGCACAATCCAGCCGTTTCTCTTTTAAACTTTAACGCACTGCAATATCGGTATATAGTCGCCATTGGTCCAATATCTAAATTTTCATTATCACTGTAGTTCGTAGTGGGATCATATTGGAATGCCAAGCGATTGAATGATGCCAATGATCTCCATGTGCTCATTTGTCTTTCTTCGCTTAAATTTTGTGAATATACTGGCTGCTGGCTTGGATGTCTGCGGCCAATGTTTGCACGTCGTCCTCTAAGCATTTTTGACTATGGACAGAGTGGTGAATTTATCCTCAAATGCACGATCCACATAATTTTCACAGTTCAACTTAAATTGAATAAAAATTTTTTTTTTTCACAATTTCACAGTGAACACAAAAATTGAGTTAAAATGCTATGGGAGCGTGTTTGTCAGTGTGATGAGATAGCAACTCACTTTATATGCGACAATATTGCAATTTTCTTACGGATCCCTAATTTTTTTCAAAATAAATTATAGCCTATTTAACTCCACGATAATATAGCTTTCTATCGGCGAAAGAATTTTTTAAATCGGACCAGTAGTTCCGGAGCCTATTCCCTGCAAACAAACAAACAAACAAACAAACAAACAAACAAATTTTACCTCTTTATAATATTAGTATAGAATAACATAAGCTCAAATAAATGAACGGCGAGCAAAATAATGAGCGTAGAAGCTCAGTTAATCAAAGAAACGCTTGTTATGCTTATTTCTCAACTCGCGATACCGAAGTAGGGAAAACGTCTACAAAGAGCAACCCGGCCCTACTGGCCGTGGAAAGGACGAGGGCTCGATCTCTATCACCTGCCCTACTCATTGCAACTCCTGCATCTTGGAGCTACCAATGCCAGACCCCACCGCCACCGACTCCCATGGAAGACGCACCAACAACAAGCAGTGCTACAATTAATGCTACCTCAGCAAAAGCGTAGTCCGCAAAACACGGTTGGTAACAAACCAAAGATCCACCGTACACTTCAACCCAAAGAAAAAAGCAAGATTTCCAACAACAGCAACAGATTTTCACTGTTAGTAGATGGTGAGGGCCAAGCTGAGCCGGAGCAAGTGACCCAAAAGAAACCAAAGCCCCCACCTATTTTTATTAGGGAAAAAAGCTCAAACGCCCTGGTCAACAAAACTGTTGCGCTGGTCGGGGATGAAAATTTTCATGTTGTTCCGCTTATTAAAGGGAACATCCACGAAACTAAAGTTCGAACGAAGTATGAAGAACACTTCCGAGCTGTGTCCAAATACCTGGAGGAAACAAAAAAGAATTTTTACACCTACCAACTAAAAAGCAGCAAAGGGCTACAAGTAGTACTAAAAGGAATCGAACCCGACGTCGCCCCCTCTGAGATACTAGAAGCCCTTAAAGACAAGGAATTCTCTGCTAAGAATGTTAGCAATATTATCAACAAAAATAAAAAGCCGCAACCACTCTTTAAGGTCGAGCTCGAGCCAGATTGCAAAACCCTACAAGCTGCAGTTCTTACTGCATCGGAGGATCACAGTCGAAGAACCACACAAACGGAACGGCCCAGTGCAATGCACAAATTGTCAGGAGTTTGGACACACCAGGACATACTGCACACTTCGGTCAGTCTGCGTAGTCTGCGGAGACTTCCACAATTCCGCACACTGCCCTGCTAACAAAGAAGACCCCCATACAAAAAATGTGGGAACTGCGGAGGAAACCATACAGTAAACTACAGATGCTGTCTGGTCTACAAGGAGCTGAAGAGTCGCATGCGACAAGCGACAGCTACATTATCCCAGCCCATCAATTTGGCTTCAGAGAAAAACATGGAACTATCGAGCAAGTCAACAGAATAACATCAGAGATTCGCACAGCCTTCGAACATATAGAACACTGCAGCGCGATATTCCTCGGCGTATCCCAAGCATTCGACCGCGTCTGGCTTAACGTTCTCATGCATAAAATCAAAACACACTTTCCCGGATACACTCATAAATTACTTGAGTCGTATCTCTACAACAGAGTCTTCGCACTGAGATGCAACACAACAACATCCGAAAACTACAAAATCGAGGCTGGAGTCCCACAAGGAAGCGCACTTGGACCTACTCTATTCGTCCTTTACACTGCGGATATTCCCACGAGCGACCGACTACTAACATCAACCTTCGCTGACGATACTGCGATCCTCAACCGCTCCAGATGCCCAGTCCGAGCAACATCCCAATTAGCCAACCACCTCACGGTAGTAGAGAAGTGGCTATCCGACTGACGTATCAAAATAAATGAACAGATGTGTAAACACATAACTTTACTCTCAACAGACAAACATGCCCTCCGATCTACTTGAGTAGCACACAGATCCCCCAAGTCAACGAAGTAACGTATGTCGGCGTCCACCTCGACAGACGTCTTACATGGCATAAACACATCGAATGCAAGAAACTACACCTAAAAGCCCGATCCCCCATGTATCTGAACTACAAGGAACTGCTCTACAACTCCACACTTAAACCAATCTGGACGTATGGCTCCCAGCTCTGGGGGAACGCGAGCAAAACTAACATAGACATCATACAGCGCGCTCAAGCAAAGATGCTGAGAATTATCACTAGGGCACCATTGTATATTCGAAACCAAAACATCCACAGGGATCTTGGATTCTTGGATTAGATTCAATAAACAAAGCAAATGCTTTGCTTTTTCGACTTTAAATACCTATGAACGGTTGCCGTGCTTAGTTGCAGCTCCTCTGCGATGGTTCTAATAGTCACATGACGATCTCGATCCACTATTTCCATGATTTTATCCGTATCAACGGTCACTGGTCGTCCGGAAGGCCTAAACCACTTCGGAATCGCCTAAACCACTGTTCGGCGGTTTGAATCGAAAGTTTGTTATCTCCTAAGACAGCAATAATCTGTCTGCGAGATTCCGCAGCAGTTTTTCCCTGTGCGAAATAAAATTTCAAAATTGCTCGAATTTCTGCGTTTGTGAACTCCATTTCAATCGATTGTACGTGGAAGATCATGTACTACATGCCATTTTAAAGGTGATTCCAATACCTTTCAAACGATGCACAGCATTGCCAGATACGATTATATTTGACTTCACAAGCGAAGCGCGAAATTTGAATGTATAAACCGGTATGTCATTACCAAACAACCTAATATAAATAATGGAAAAATTTTTATAAAGTCGTTGTTTTAAATCCCACGAGCATGATTTTTCAAATATGGAGTCATTTAATAACCCTTGGAAAAATTAATTCAAATCCGAAAACTCATATAAAAGGTCGCTATTTTTTATTTCACGACCATGATTTTTAGAAATATCCTTGAGGATGTTACCTCGCATCGAATTTCGATTTTTTTTGTGTCGTTATGTTGGTACTCATGTCTCTCACTTGTGCCTATTCAAAAAAATGGATCAAAGAACCTGTATCCAATTTTTTGTGAAAAACGAAATTAGGTGCGTGGATGCATTCCGAATGTTGACTGTGGCATACGGAGAAGCTACCTTGGATCGAAGCAACGCTTATCGTTGGTACAAAATGTTCTCTCAGAAGGCCGAGAAGATGTGAACGGCGAAGAGCGTGCCGGACGCTTAAACACTTCAACAACAGACGAAAAAAATAATGAAGTGGAGAAAATGGTATTGGCCAATCGTCGAATCACCGTTAGAGAAGTTGCTGAGGACCTAAACATGTCGATTGGCTCGTGCCATGCGACTTTTATCAATGATTTGGGAATGAGACGGGTCGCCGCCAAATTCGTACCAAAATTGCTCAATTGCGACCAAAAACAGCATCGCATGAACATTGCTAATGAGATGTTAAACTCTGTCCGCGACGACCCAAATTTGCTTCAGAGGGTCATAACTGGTGACGAATCGTGGGTTTATGGTTACGACGTGGAAACCAAAGCTTATTAGCTTCAGCTTACCGAAGCTAGCTTTTATTTTATTTTATTTTTTTTGTGCTGTTAAAACTTGTTTGTTTATTAAATTTTATTAGTTAATACTAACCTGTTTTAGTTGTACTTTCATTTGAGCTTCCATTTAATTTGTGATCTTTGTTGATTACATTTTTAACGTTTTGTGTACATGTAACTTTTTCCTTGTGCATGGTCTGTAAAAAGATACAACAAAAATGTTGTGATTGTTTTGTGTGAAAAGAACATTATACTTTTTATACCCTTGCAGAGCAAGGGGTATTATAATTTCAGTCAAAAATTTGCAATGCAGTGAAAGTATATATATTCTTGATCAGCATTACGATCTGAATCGAAATCCGACCGACTGTTCTCCTGTCTATCTTGGTGAAACTTTACCAAAAGTTGGTTAGTTATTGCACGCAGTATATAAGTCGGAACGGGCCGAATTGGCCGACTATATTGCAGAGCAAACGGGTATTATAATTTTAGTCAGAAGTTTGCAACGCAGTAAAGGAGGCACCTCAGACCAACCTCAGATAAATGACCGAGCTTGTCGGCACAAGTGAGAGTCATGAGTACCAACATAACGCCACAAAAAAATCGGAATTCGATACGAGGTAACCCGCGAAAATTCAAAATTCGCGATACTTTTTGAACACATCTCGTAGTTTTCCGATTTTTATTAAATGGTAGTTAAACAAGAAAGAAAGCTAACGAACAAACGGACAGACACACAGACGGACAGACGGATAGACGTATTTCGATTCAGATCGTGATGCTGATCAAGAATATATATACTTTTTGGGGTCTGAGGTGTCTCCTTCACTGCGTTGCAAACTTCTGACTGAAATTATAATACCCTCTTGCTCTGAAAGGGTATAAAAACACCATCTGGAAGAAATCAAGTCGATATGACAAAAACAACGGAGTGATAATTTTTTTTACTCTCTCGCAATAAGTACATAACTTTTGGTAAAGTATCGGTAAGATTGCTTTAAAATTAAGAGAATAGTTTACATAGGAACTGACAGATAGATAGGCGTACAGATGTATTTCGATTGACATACCGGTTTCTTTATTGATTTTTGACGTCGATTTTAACATAGTTAGCATTGTCCGATTTAAGTGCTATATGTACCGTTGTCTTCGATGATTTTCTGCCATTTTGATGGTTACTTGTTTATGCCTCTCCTAAAGAAGTCCTTGTCCCTACTGGCAAAAAACTCGGCAATTCGATTTTCACAATCCGCCCTTAAACTCAATTTTTGTCCATCGAAAAAATTTTGCATTGCAAAAACAGATGGTAATCGCTTGGGGCAATGTCCGGACTATAAGGTGGATGCATTAACACCTCCCAACCAAGCTTCCGTAGCTTGTGACGCGTCACCAAAGATGTATGGGGCCTGGCGTTGTCATGATGGAACACAACCCCCTTACGATTCACCATGGCTGGCCGCTTCTGTTCAAGTGCAATTTTCAATCGGGCCATAGGGAAACACTTCATAATGGATAATTCCTCTGATATCCCACCATACACTCAGCAACACCTTCTGAGCCGTCAGTCCTGGCTTTGCCACCGTTTGAGACGACTCACCGTGCTTCGACCAGGATCTTTTACGCTTTATGTTGTCATATGTGATCCATTTTTCATCACCAGTGACTAACCCACCCAGAAATGAGTCGTGTTTATTACGGTGCAACAAAGACTCGCAGATTGATACACGGTCGAAAAGGTTTTTTTGGGATAACTCATACATCGAGCTTTTTGTAAAATTTTTCGACTTTAAATGCCTATGGACGATTTCCGTGCTTAGTTGCAGCTCCTCTGCGATGGTTCTAATAGTCACATGACGATCTCGATCCACTATTTCCATGATTTTATCCGTATCAACGGTCACTGGTCGTCCGGAAGGCTTAGGTGTTTCGGTATCAAAATTGCGACTTCGGAATCGCCTAATCCACTGTTCGGCGGTTTGAATCGAATGTTTGTTATCTCCTAAGACAGCAATAATCTGTCTGCGAGATTCTTTTGGATAAATAAAATTCATGTTGTTTTATTGCAATTTAAAGTTCCATATCTCACAAAAAAAAAAAATACAGTTATATAACTCGATTTAAAAATCTGAGCTTGTCGGTAGATAACAGATCAACCACTGTTGTCACCATTCTTCCAGTAAACATCATGGACTATTGACGACGACCAGAGACCTTGACCAGTGCACCGCACGTACAAGTACACCGCACACACGATGTGTGTTTTAAGCTCGAATCCCAAATAGTTTCAGGAAGCTGTGTTTTCCAAAAAAATTAAATTTTTAAATTTAAGAAGTCGAATCGTTTGACAATAGTTTTTTCACACCCCCAGTTTTAGTGACAAAGAATTTCTAAAAATTTCGTTTTCTAATCGCCACCCCCACCATTCTTGGGACGCGTCTGCCACCCTTTCCGATACCAATCCTTACCCAATGTACCCACCCAAGTCGGTGGAGAAACCTAATACAATTCAGGAACCATATATCTGGCTTCATATTACAAGATTTTAAAAAGAGAAGGGCAAAGATATAGAAAAATGTTCTGTAATTTCGGAAATTGTTTCCATGGCAGGTTTATGATATCGTCATCTGATGTTCATGAAATTGAATTCAAAATTAAAAAGTCCACCATCTGGAAAGAATATTGCCTATAAAAACGTGCGTCTAAAATTTTTCACGTTATTATACTCATCTTTTGGTAAAGTTTCAGCGAGAAAGCCATCAATTGTCGATTATTGATTAAGATAATCGTCCTGGTTCTAAGAATAAAAGTTGTAATTGAATGTGGAACTTATGCAGAGAATACAACAAAAACAATTCTTAAATTAACTCGTACGAATTTAGTTCAATTGACAAACCTAATTGAAACAAATTTATTTAAATGAACGTAAGGTCAAAGTATTCCCATATTTATATGCTTGAAGAAATATAAACACAAGTGAGCTCAGGGCATTACGATCTAGACCGAAAATAAAATCAGTGAAGTGAATCACTTACGATCCCAAAAATTTACAATTGAAATTTCAGGGAGCTGGCCGATATGCGCAATTGATTGCAAAAAATTGTCTGAGGTACGCGAAAACGCTTTTTGCACATATAAAATGAATGTCCGAGATGCGCGAAAAGGCTTTTTGCACATAAAAAATGAATGTCCGAGATGCGCTGAAAGCATTACGGTAAAAAAACATCCGAGGTGTACCGGGACTCTTTTTACACATAAAAAAATCTATGTCATCATTTGTTTAACTTGGTCAAAATCATTATTTATTGTTCATCAAAACAATATCAATAATTTGAAATATGTCGAGAACATTTTGAGTCAATTAGAGTCAAACTAACGGAGTTACAGCGTTTTAAACGACAAAATTTGTCCGTATTTTAACGTATAAAAATTGTTTAAATCGATTTTCCCGAAAACGTTATTTTGAAAGTCGGTGGACATCAGAACTCAAAATCTACTTAACCGATCCTTTTCAAATTTATAACATATATTCTCCACAAAAATAAGCAGGTAATCAGGAAAAGTTTTTTTAATTTTTAATTTTTTTCTATGTATTTATTAATAAATAAATTATGCGATTTTTTAAGCTAAAATCGCACTTCTCACTTTCAAGTGCTCCCAAAAATAGACAAAAAGAAAACAAATTTATAAAAAAATTCTTTCTGATTACCTCGGGAAATTCATTATCTTTACAGCGAATATAACCTTTTTTTGTAAGATGATCCGTTAACGCCCTATGATGTTCACCGCAAAACAACTTTTTCTTAAGGCGCTTCGGAAGATTAACAGCCACAGTCTTATTTCTTAATATCTAAAACAAAATTTTTTTCAAATACTCTTCAAAAGAACAATAACATGCAATTAAGCTCAATAAAATAAACTTACTCATTTCGCAGCAAAAAAAGATCAAACATAGCCCTTTTTTGGCCTTCAAAACCAAACTTTTAAAACAAAACTTTTTATTTAAGAAAATAATTAGTGAGAAAAAAAACGAGAAAATCGTAATTTTTTCAAAAGCTAATAACTTTTGCAATTTTCATTCTTTTTCTGAACCTAGTTCATTTTATGCACAGTACTGTACACTTTAAGAATATTTTCTGTTTTTGAGTTTCCGATTACCCGTTTTGGCTGAATCACTTCCGTAAGCGGGACACCTTTTCGCCGAAATGCCGCCACTGAGGAATGCCCCTCCCGCCTTTTTTTTTATTTTTTCTATTTCGAATTTTTTTTCGCAAAATAAATAAGTTTTCAAATAAAGTTAAAAATTTCAGCTTTTTATTTTCAACTGTTTTTTCAAAATAATTTTTGTAAAAAAGGGCCATTTTTCGGCCCCACAATGTGAGAGTCTGCCTTAAAGAATATACATGTGTTCTTGATCAGCATCACCACCATCGATTTAGACGAGTTTTAAAGCTATCCCTTTGAAACTTTAGATATAGATATTGCACTTACTATACTAAGTCGGAAGGAGCCAGATCAGACGACTATATCGGATAGCTCCTATTTAAAAACAGAAAAACCGAAAAAAAAAAAAAAAAAATTGTACGAAGTTACTTTTTATTGTATTGACATAATTTTTATACCCTTGCAGAGCAAAAGGGTATTATAATTTCAGTCAGAAGTTTGCAACGCAGTGAAGGAGACCACGCAGACCGCGTAGAGTATATATATTCTTGATCAGCATCACGAGCAGAATCGAAATAAATTTGTACGTCTGTCCGTCTGTCTGTCTGTCTGTCTGTCCGTCTGTCCTCCTGTCGGTTTCTATGTAAACTAGTCTCTCAGTTTTAAGGGGTTATATACCTTTTTTCAGAGTCAAAAAATCAAAAAAGATTTTATGATTTTTTTTTTATGTACATACTTTCAACAATTTTTCTGCAAAATTTTTTAGAGATCGGGGCACTAGAACCTAAGATACAGCCGTTCATAGCGCACGGTGTGCATGACTACCTAATGTCCACCTAAAACTTTAAACGCGATTATCTCGGAATCGTATTTTTGAGAAAAGGTCGTTGCGGTGAGCACGATATCTCGGAAACCACTTTATCGATTGATTTGAAATTTTGGGGGATTGTTTGTAGATACAATAGCTAGTTCGTGAACGAAGGAATTTTATTTTCGATAAATTTTTCTATTTTTTTGGGGCGAAAAACTAAATTATTAGACCTCGAAAAATCGTTTTTTTTTTTTTTAAAATAATCACTGTAACTGTAAAAATTTTTTTTCGTAAAATCCTTCGTTCACGAACTAGGTAACACTATATACTAACGTAGTTTTTTTTTTTTTCGTTGAGCCGTTTTCTTGTTTTCATGCTCACCGTGAGCCACTACTTAAAAAATGACTTCTGCGGCAAGGACTATAACTTCCACAATTCTCAAAATTTTCACTCAAAATTTTATACGAATTAAGTTAAGGACACGTACTTTGATAAAATTTTTATTGAGTTTAAATAAAACAATGGTAACATGCTAAAAAAAAGAAATAAAAACCCTGTATTTCTCTGGTGAAAAAGGTATATAACCCCTTAAAGCTATCTTGCTGAAACTTTCCCAAAAGGTGTGTAGTTATTGCACGCAGTATATAAGTCGGAACGGGCCGGATCGGCCGACTATATCGGATAGCTCCCATACGAGGGAATGAAATAAAAAATTCTAACACCGTTGTTTTTCATCAGATCGACTTGATTTCTTCAAGATGGCGTTTTCGAACTGTTATTGAATTTCGGATTAAATATGATCAAAATCGGATAACGCTATCATATAGCTGCCATAGGACAGATCGAAAAATATTTATAGAATTAATGGAAATAAATTGATAACATCGTAGTTTTTTATCCCACGAGCATGATTTTTTGAATATCAAGTTTTTTAACAACTCTTATATTGAGAAAAAAGTTTCATAAAAATCGGACAACTATAATTTATAGCTGCCATAGGAAAGATCGAAAAATCTATATAGAAATAACGGAAATAAAATTATAACATCGTTGTTTTTCATCAGACAAGTATGATTTTTGGAATATAAAGTTTTCGACTCTTGAATTACGAATTAAATTTGATCAAAATCGGACAACTATATCATATAGCTCCCATATGATCTATAGTTGAAAATATGGAAAATGAATAGAAAAATCGTCATAGCTTCCATGTTGTTAGGCTTTATGCATTTTGTTCGACATATTTTATGACTGCAAGGGTATATAAGCTTCGGCTTGCCGAAGCTAGCTTCCTTTCTTGTTAAGGATGTTGTTTTTACGACTTTTGAATTTAGGATGATAACCAATAACCCAACATTTATAGAAGTTTTCTGAAACAAGCCAGCTTTGGCAAGCTGAAGCTTTTGTACTTTGTCCTTTCCGCTACAAATGTTATATTATCGAGATGGCATCTTTGCGTTACACAAGGTAAAATATACAGTCAGCACACAATTTATTCGGACACCCGTGATTTCCAATCTTTTTCATCAATAACTCGACAAATATATAACGGATAACAAAAGTTAATATATTGAAGAACAACATTCTAAGCATAAATTTTAAAAACTATATCATACATTTTTTGCTTTAATACTACGTAATATTTCAAAATAACCTAAAAAGTCTTTTTTCCCGCACGAAATTTATTCGTACACTTCAAAGAATCGGGATGAAAACATATTTTTTAGGTGATTTTTTTTTTTTTAAATTGGTGGGTGTTCCCAAAGCATTTATTATTGATTTTAAACGTCGACCCATGTTTTTGACCAAATTGTCTGTCTTTATAACGCCTATTTTATCCCATTCCACTTGTAATGCGGTTCTTAAGGATTCCTTTGAGGATATACTGTGCTTCCTTATTTTATTCTCAAGTATGTCCAATACGTGTTCTATTTTGTTTAAATTTGGGGATTAGGGAATTATTTTAAGCTGTTTGCTGTGATGCAAAAGCCATTTTTCCACCATATAGGAAGAATCCTTCGGGTAGTTAACTTGTTAAAATAAGAATTTCTATCGTTCAAATCCAAGTTTTGAGAATAAAATTTTGGCTAAGAATATCCTTATACATAGTATTGTTTATTTTATCATTTATTAAGACCATTCTGCCGACTCCACACGAAGTTACACATCCACTAACTGCCTCCATGCTTAATAGTTGGTTTTAAGTTTTTCTCTTTCAAAGCTTAATTGGCCTTTCTCCAAACTTAGGAAGTACCGACGTGTCCAAATTTGTTGTATTTTGATTTGTCACTTAAAACTACGTTCTTTCAAAACGAACCCGACTTGCTGACATACAGTTTTTTGAACTAAAAACTTTTTTTTTGTAGATGGCTGAAATTAAGGTCTTTCGGCGAGCAACTCTGCCATGTAAACCAGCTTTGTACAGGTTGCGGTTGGTTTGGGCAAAAATTTTTTTTTGTCTACCTTCCTCTAGATTCTTCCCAATTTTAGTAGATGCTGTTTTTGTATTTTGCAAGACTGTAGATACGTCTTTCCGCTCCTCACTAGGTGTTAGTATCTTGAGCCTACCAGTTTTACTGAGATATGCAGCTAAATCTCATGTGTCCAGCAATTTTTTTTATCACGCTATGTATTTTGGAAGGTGATTTGTCAATGATTCTACCGATTTCCCGAAAGATACGATTCTCCAAATGCAGTTTTAATATACATTTTCGCAACTACAAAGTCAAATCTTGACTACCTCCTATTTCGTCTAATATTATTAATAAACTTAGCAAAAATAACACAAAAATCAAAAAGCGTTGATGACTATTCTTAACTGTTTCCTAATATAAAACAAAAAAAATCATCGAATTACGTTGCAATCAGAAATAAAAGTCAATAAATGAAAAGTGTACGAATAATTTTTTGGCCGTATTTCAGGCACTATTTTGCATTTCTTTCACTAGATGTTAGAGTTGAATGTAAAAAAAATAATTTTTTTTATTCTAATGGCTTCAGATAATATCTGTTTTCATAATACGTAAAAAAAAAGTTTTTAAAATTAAGAAAGTTCTGTGAAAAAATGGATATTACAAAAGTGAGCGTCCGAATAAATTGTGTGCTGACTGTATATAATCTTTCAGTTCCTCTGCAACTGGGTTAATCAGGAAGAATCTCTCCGTTTCCTAATTAGGAAGAGAGGAATTTCCATTCCACTACTACAATTGGGTAAGCCAGTTCAACTACATATATACATTTTTAAATTTAAAAAAAATTAATTTTTATAAGTTTAATTTTTAATTTTTAAAAATATTGTCGATCCGAGCAATAGTTTTCAAAGACAGAGAGAAAAGAAGGTTATTTCAACTAAACGCTCCAAATTTTAAACGCGTTTTTCTTAAAATTCTGTTTCTATAATCATGATTTCTTGAGAAGTACTCAAACGATATTGATGAAATTTTAGACAGGTCTTCGGGATACTACTTACAATGTGGACGAAGGATTCTTTTCTTTTTCAATTATATACAAGTATTTAAAATAATAAGGAAAGATAGAAAAACATATATATAAATAATGGCAAAAAAATTTGCCATTATTGCAAAATTTGACCGTATTTGCAATAATCCGCCACCAGACGACTGCAATAATCGGCACATCACATGCAAATACGGTCACTCAGATCCGAATTTGTACTACAAATAGCATCTTTAATTGTTAATAACAAAAACACGGTGCAAAATTTTCACTCTCCGCCAACGGATTCGAAGTTTTAGAAAAAAACCACATTGTTTCCATATTTTACTTAATTTTTTCAAGCTGTATTTACCGTGCACCGCACTTGTAAACAATCACCCTTTTTTGAAAACGAAGCAAACTTTGTGAAATCGGATTTATACTTTCGAGAAGCCAAACTTGTTCAAATTCTCAGAACATGTAAGGAGCTCTTTATTACGAACACTAAAGTTAAAGTGGTGACAAAACTGATTTGTTGTAGTGATCGAAAGAACCTTTACCTTGTCTTTAATCTTTCTCATTGGTATGTATTCATATACATACCCCACCAACGTGCCAACCTCCAACTCTACTTGTCAGAAAGGTCGAGATCGGTCAGCTATAAAATACATATGTATGTAAATATAGGTTCGTAGTTTTTAAAGTATGTGCGAGTAGCATAGATCTTATATGTACATGCGTAAATCTATTACAACATTGCAATAGTCTTATTTAATCTGTGATTTTGTCTTTTTTTATTTACGTATCGGGACTATGCGTCAGCTGATATGTCCCTCTCTTTTCCAAAGAACGTAAAAGTAATTTACTAACCGTGGAAATCCAATATTTTGCTCGGGAATAAGGTTCCTTGAACAAGGCACACTGAAGCACAATGGTCGGCACTGGTTTTTTATTGTATTGGGATCCTTTGTTGATGATATTACATGACAAAATATAACAATTTACTCCTGATCCTGTTAGTATAGTCGGATTTCTGCCTTAAGTGAAAACGTGCTTCCACAAAAATGTAATATTTACATGCGCCTTCTTATACAAAAAATATAAGCGTGTTTCGTTTCAAGTATATACAAAATCAAAACGCGACAAACGAAAAACTGTACGTTGTTTTAACCCTACTGGATTAGAGTGACCGGAACACCATCAGAAGACTTATATGAAAATTCTGAAACGAGCAACCATAAGCGTCAAGTTAACACCAATGACTTAGCTGCGAAAGTGGAAAAGAGGAAATATTACTTAAGAAACACATTTATACGACAATCCCACAGAACCCATAGCAAAATGATTGGTTGTGATTTTGGAAGAAAGTTATTATATGAACATTCCCACCAGCTCTCCAGAAAATAGATAGAATTTCTATCCCGTGGAAGTCTTTCACAATTATATTATATTAAAATCACGTTTTGTATTTTTTAATTATTCGCACGTTTGTTGGATAATTCCCGGGATTTTCTGGGTCATTATTCCGAGAGGTATAAAAACATTAAAAATTAAATTTAAAAAAAATAATTAAGTTTATATATATCTTTTATATAAATATTTTCCTCTCATATAAGATATCGAAAAAAAATTATTGTTATATATTATTTATAAATTTTATCAAAATCGAATAACTATATGATATAGCTGTCATAGCACTGCGGTTCCGTCAGAGGCCAAAAATCTAAAAACCGATCAGAAAATATTTAAATTAAATTTAAAGGTTTGTCTCAAAAATATCCAATCTTCCAATTTGCAAACCGGTTTTCGCTGGAAACCTAACGGTACATATGCCGCAATTATTACATCTTATAGGCGTTTGCATTTTCATGCTCTTCTTTTCAGTGCCCCGCTCCGTTCCAGGGAATTCAGAATTTCTGGCGAACGTGTGAGCTTTGAGTTGTTGTTGTAGCTCTGCTCGTGTTATTACGTTTGTCTGGGATCAATTTGCGATGTATGCGCCAAAACCAATGATATCGCGATTTCTTCATGTTTCATCCCTTTCCACTTGGCCAACAGGGATGTCACCATACGGCTAGAGTACACCGATAGACATTCATTGGGATTTGGGCGTACCTTCAGCAAGTTGAGTAACAGTGCAGCCGGCGTCTCATTGCCTTCATAGAGTTCCATGAAAAGCTACTTCAATTGTACGCAGCTCATTCCAGAAAAGCAAATCTGCGATTGCTATTGCGATGCACTACCGAGACGCGATTTGCTAAGCGTCATAACCAGTGATGCGCCTTCTTGTGGATGTTCACATAAAGTCATGTTGGATGTCTTGCATCATGCTGCTGCATTAGCGTCGGCAGCTTCGGGCAGCACTGCCGAAACTTCACGCATGACAGGACCCGGTCCAGACTGTGTAACTTTTAGTAACTCCTCTATCACTCTATTTTGTGTTTCTAGAAGCATGCGCCAGCTATTTTCCGATTTTTCTTGTAGGGGTGGTGATCCCACTTCTGATGTTGGAGATATGGGGTCAGGTTCGTTGGCCATTATTGCCCACCAATGCACATCTTTTCTCTAACTGGAATACAGCGAGTCGCAATGATATGTGTGCAAGTAAGGATTTCTCTCTCCTTTCCTACCGCGTTCTCAATCTAAAGCTTCTCTATGTGTTATTCTCTTCATGTTATTTCTATTGATCTTTATTCATTTCATATTTCGATACACTAAGAGAATCATTACTAATGATTAAACCTGATTATTCTAAATAAACTTCGACAAGCATTTATTTTGAGCTGCAACTTTGGTCGTTTTGTGTTTTCGATATGCGACAGCGTATAATAGCGAGATAATTTTTATGTTAAACTGGGGTCTAGCCGAAAGCGCGGCTTCTTTGTATTATTACTCTCAAGAGAAGCTTGGCTAATAAATAACATTGTATGAAAAAGTTAACAAAACAGAAAATCGGCTTGAAGAGCGGATGATAGATATGTAACTAAAGAGCTAAGTCTTTGCGCACTAGTTTAGGTACTGGCGGTCTGCTCGAAGAATAGGTATTTTTCGACTTAAGCACCTTCTAACTAAAGCACCCAAAAGTGTAGGGTGACCTGAGCTTTAATTGGCATTGGGCCAAAAGTGAAAGTGTTGGCAGAGCGACGAACTCCCTCTCGGCCAGCAGTCGTGAAAATATACTTTGCACTGGGATCAACTTTACGGAGGAGCGTGACTTACGGATTTTTTGATCTAATCGATGCCTTCTGCGGGTTTTCTTCTTGAATTTCTGTCTTGGAATCAGATTAGTAGAGCTCGGTTTCTTGAGTAACATATTCAGTGCTACCCAACTATCCACAAATTTTACTCTTAAAGGGCCAAAATGTGGCTCCTCGGTTATTCTGCCAAGTTCCAGGGCGCTTCAGGTTCCCCCCTGAGGGTAACGTAGCAGAAGGCGATGAAGCACAAGGTCCCGCCTACCAGGAGCAGGAGGCATCGACGCCGTCCCACTCCAACAAAATGGAACTTGGAGCGCTGGTGATGGCCGTGCAACGTGGATGTCCTCGTCGGAAGTGTATGGTAGTAATATGTATGTACTGTGGTAGTCATATATTTTGGAATCTGGTGTTCGATGGGGATGGAGCTGGGTGGTGGTTGTGCTGCAGATGGTACTGCCGATACATGCCACGGCCATTGGTTCTCCGTATTTATATTTCGATTTTGCCAACTTATACAACTTGCATTATACAATACAGCTGAGGCGACCCGGAAATTGTTCGAATTCCCCCGACATTTCTGCCTTTGGATGCTTTGCTTTATTTTCGCGACTCGTCTGTTCCGCTTGTTGCTATAAAAAACCCAAGCGTAGGTAAACTTTTGATGCGAATTACGAATTACTTAAAACAAGACCACAGATCCCTTCTCGACACCCTTCAAACCAAATATTGCCTGTACGTGTGCCTGAAAATGTAAGACTTTATTATCAAATCGATTTATGCGCAAATTCAAAGCCTTTTTATAATTTGTATTCTACGGTTCGAACGAGCGTATGGTCTCCAGAGCCACGCCGCCTAAACTAAACCGTAAATGCTGAGGTTTTTTAATCTTACTTAGCTCGTCATCATTGTCAATGACCGTGGTGAAAGTTCCAAGAAAATCCGGCCAGTCGTATTTGACAATCGAGCTTTTCTAGACCGAAAAGAAAGATCTGCATTATTTGTTAAGTCCAGGCATGTAGAACTGGCAGCTGTGGCACCAGAAAATTGCAATTTTCGTTGGGCTTTCAAATCCATGATAACTTCGGAAAATTTCATTCACGTATCACGTGGGATCTGCGATAGGTCCTGCCCTTCCAGCGATGTCAGTGCGGAATCAAATGCCATGTTTTAGGAATCGATCTATTTCACCCGGGCAAGAACATTGGCCAGTAAATAACTTCATAACACGTTGATTTGATTGGGTCATTTGGGGATATATATTTTTGAATCTGCTGTTGTAAGAGCATTCAGCTGGGATTGTGGTGGTGGCGGGGAATATGGTACTAAATGTTGTGGTTGTGCTGCAGATGGTACTGCCGATGCTTGCCACGGCCATTGGTCCCCCGTGGTTATACAGTAGAATCCTGTTATAACGACTCCGCTTATAGTGTCCGTCCGGGTTGTGTGACGAAAACTCGATGGTTTGGTTGGTCCCTATACTAACTTATATGAAAGGGCCTCCGCTTAGCGTTTCCGCTTTAAGCGACAAACCGCTTATACGAACGAAATTTTTCGAGAAAATTGAAAATTTTAACAGGATATTACGTCGTGCAGAAAAAAAATACATTGCAATAGTGCCAAATTTAAGTATCAAAACACGCTGTGAGAAATGTATGTATTTATTAGTGATCGGCACCCTTGTTTGTGTGCGTAGCAGCGACACAAAGGATCTTACACTGTCACTACTCTTTGTTAGTTTTAGCTGTCGCTTTAACAACGTTGCTGCGAGAGAGAGAGAGAGAGTCGAAGTGCAATGCCGACGTCACACTGCGTGTGCAGACCTCATAGCCTATTCCATGAGATGTCCCGTTATAATTCTAATTTTTACTGTTTTTTTCTGAGTAAAACTGATTTCGTAAATTCGCCAAATGCAAAATGTGCAATAATAATAAGCACATTCAGTTTTCAGTATTTAGAAAAATCTATGTTTTTGAATTGAATTTAATAAATTTTTCGTTTTAATTAAATAATTAATTTGATTTATTTTAAAAACCTATTACAAACACAGCAACCATTAAATAATCAAAAAAAATTTTTTTGCTCCTTTTGCTTAGTGCGTCTTCCGGGTATAACGACGAAAAACCGCCGGTCCCTTGAAAGTAGCTATAACTGGATTCTACTGTATTTTGTTTTTGCCTTATACAACATTTGGCTGAGGCGACCCGGAAATTATTCAAATTCCTCTGATATTTCTGCCTTTGGGTGCTTTGCTTTTTTATCTGACCGTCGCGCTCGTTTCTCTGTCTCTTCCGCACGCTGGCTTATTGTTTTTTATGCCGTCACGGGATTTCCTGTTGTTGTTTCGATTTCGATGAGAATGACATTACTGCTTATAAAAAGGTATTGCTCTTTCTCTCGCGGAACGAAAATGGTCAAAACATGGACTTCAAATTTTACATCTATTCTCGCCTATCCAATCGACGCCTAAGAAGTTTCACTTCAAATAATTAGTTAAGGAAACAAATTCCACTGAGAACAATGTATTGGTGGCTATTATAGCATGTACACACAGGAGCAAAACTACAAACACGATTACCGATGTCGAACAACAACGTATTTTACATCGTTGTCATTGATCAAGACATCGAAAACATTTATTAGTTTATAATTCAGGGTTTGATTTGGGCTTGCAACAATGTTAAAAACTACTTACAACATGCCTCGACTGCTTCGAAGACATTTGCTTTATGGCTTATGCTATTTTCAAAGATGGCCAGGTAAATTCTACAACGATTCTAAAGAACATTTACACTCGTATGTATGTATACATGCATGTTTGTGTGTTCTACATATATCTGCATATTAGTCTATACTTCCTCATTAAACTGCGCAATTGTATACCCTTCATGAGGCCATTGTTATTTTAGTTGGAAGTTTGCAACGCAGTAAAGGTGACACTTGTGACCCCGTTAAGTATATATGTACGTACATATGTATATGTATTCTTGATCGGCATACATCTATATATATATGTATGTAAATGAATCCACCCAGCGGGGAAAAAACATGTGGAAAATATGCTATTTTCCAGTGGTTTCTTCACACAAGCGGAAGGTGGAAAACCTCCTTCACCCCTTACATTTTTTACATCTCTCCTTTCAAAATACACGGGGGTGACACACAAAAGTAAGGGGTGAAGGGCAAAATCCAGTGGATCTACAGCTTCTGAATGCAGGACAAAATCCACTGGACCTTTAGCTGCTAAATGCAGGACAAAATCCAGTGGATCTCTAGCCAGTGGCGGATTTACCGTGTAGCCAACATAGGCAGCTGCCTAGGGCGGCAAATTTTTAGGGGCGGCAAATTTCGACTGTTAACACTACTACGACTGTTAAAGGTGAAAATTAGGCTGCAGTCTAGGGCGGCAAAATCAAAACTGCCTAGGGCGGCAAATTGTCTTAATCCGCCCCTGTCTCTATCTGCTGAATGCAGGGCAAAATCCACTGGTTTTTGTACTGAAAAAACCAGTGGATCTCTTGCAGCTGAATGCAGGACAAAATCCAGTGGACCTACGGCTGCTGAATGCAGGACAAAATCCAGTGGACCTACGGCTGCTGAATGCAGGACAAAATCCACTGGTTTTTTGCCTTCCCGCTTTACAGAATTTCCACAAGCAATAAAAAAACAATACTTTTTAATTTGGTATGTGCATTTATTAATCTATTTACAGTCCAAGGGCCTTTATCATAAATATTGTTGTATGTTTTATTTTTTGCCTTAGTGAACGATGAACGCAGATATTGGCGAAGACTGTAATTCTTTTCTGAGTGACTCTGAAAATAAAAACCATAATATATTAATATATTAGGTTGTCACATAAGTCTTGCGGTATTTTCCCTAGTTGGCGCTGAAAGCGCGTAGTTCTTGTTTTATTCGTCGCATCAGGTCATACTATACCTTTTTGGAAAGCTCATTTCACGCGCTAACACGTGTTTGATTGATTGTCTTTTCTTTTAAGTCGTTCGTTAGTTATAGCGTCGCAATCATGGAGCAAAATAAAGAGAAAATACGGCATATTTTACAGTACTACTACGATAAAGTTTATGGACCCGATACAGTTTCCATTTTCACCGCACAACGATGGTTTCAACGTTTTCGTTCTGGTGTAGAGGTGGTCGAAGATGCGCCACGCTCCGGAAGGCCTGTCGTCGAAAATTGCGATAAAATCACTGAATTGATCGAAAGAGACCGGCATAGTAGCAGCCGTAGCATCGGTCAAGAGCTGGGCAAGAGTCATCAAGTCGTAATTAACCATTTGAAGAAGCTTGGAGTCACTAAAAAGTCGCGAAAAAACATCTTTGACCATACGACGCATGCGAATCGCTTCTAAATCGCAACAAAATCGACCCGTTTTTGAAGAGTATGGGGACTGGCGATGAAAAGTGGGTCACTTACGATTACGTAAGGCGCAAACGGTATTGGTCAAAAAGCGGTGAAACGGCCCAGACGGTGGCCAAGCCTGGATTGACGGCCGGTCAGGTTCTTCTGTGTGTTTGGTGGGATTGGCAGGGAATAATCCACTATGAGCTACTCGCCTATGGACAAACGCTCAATTCGGACCTGTACTGCCAATAACTGGACCGCTTGAAGACAGTACTCATGCAGAAGAGGCCATCTTTGATCAACAGAGGCCGAATTGTCTTCCACCAGGACAACGCCAGGCCACACACATCTTTAGTGACGCGCCAGAAGCTCCGGGAGCTCGGATGGGAGGTTCTTTTGCATCCACCGTATAGTCCGGATTTCGCACCAAGTGATTACCCCCTGTTTCTGTCCATGGCGAATGAAGTCGTCTTAGACCAGCTATTATGCCTTCACCTCCGATCATGGTTTTAAACAAGCTTATCTGCAAAAAATAAACCTTTTATTATAAAAAACAAATAAAATTAGTTTATACATAAATCAGCTATATGAATTAAAAAAATTTCAATTACATAGTAACAAGCATGGTTATCGAAATTTATGAAAAATGTAGTGAGTACTTACAAATGCTTTTGGATTGGCTTCGGCATCGGAGTACAAGTGGCCAAGTTCTTCAAATGACGAAATCGGAAATGTCCGCTTAGGCACGTTCAGATTTGCCGTTAATATTGACATATGGGACAGAATCTTTGATGTCGAAACTATTACAAATTCTAAATAACAAACATTTGTTTGTTCTTGTAAAATTGAAAAATAAATTTAAATAAAAAACTTACTTACTTGACAACCGCCTCTGGCGGCTTATATTTAGTTTTAGTAAAAATGTCTTTGTTCACCATATCCGTTACGCTGAAATAACGATATACAAATAAAAATATTTATGTTATAACTTATCTTTATTTTGTTTTCTAAGATTAACACAACTTTTTTCTTTTTTTACACTTTTTGCACGAAATTTTATTCTGATGTGACCGTGCATCATATAACAACTTTCCGAAGAAAGACAATAATTAGTCACAACTTCGTTGTGACTTATGGTCATATTCAGAAACCCACACCATTTAGAGGTCCGAAATTATTTACCCCTCACCTACGCCTGCTAAAAGAAGTAGGTTTTCCAGTACTCTAAAAACCTACATCCCACTTTGCCGCTGGGCAGTTGATAATAGACATATTCACATTAAGTACATATATGTATGTGCATGTATGCGGAAGAACGCACTTCACCATCTAAGTCGAGCTTTGTATAGATGTACATATGTAGCCATGCATGCACGACTGCTATGTGCACACTAGACGTCTGCATGATTACATTCATAACATACATACGTCTAAATGAATACATTCGAATCGAATAGAATCCCAGCGGGAAAGTGGTAAGGAGGTTTTTATTTGACTGGAAAACCTCCTTCTTTTAGCAGGCGTAGGCGTAGGGATAGACGATTTCGGACCGATTTTGGGGGTGGGTTTCTGAATTTTACCTAAATTTTTACCGAAGTAAGGACATTTTTGTTCAGCGGTAAGGGAAAAATCCAGTGGATTTTGTCCTGCTTTCAGCAGCTGTAGATCCACTGGAAAACCTCCTTCACCCCTTATTTTTGTGTGTCACCCCCGTGTATTTTGAAAGGAGAGAAGGCAGAAATGTAAGGGGTGAAGGAGGTTTTCCACATTCCGCTTGTATGAAGAAACCACTGGAAAGAAGCATATTTTCCACAGGTTTTTTTCCGCTGGGATGGAGTGAGTGGAATGATGGAAATGAAATGACATTGTATGAGTGCACGCCTGTGTTCCTCCTTTCCTTTGAGACGTCAAACGAAATGAGAAAGAATGAACGAAACGAAAAGTGAAATGAAAGATTTGGCAATGCCTTGTATACTCGAATCATTCGAGTTGTTTTTTATTAGGTGCGCAACTAAGTTCCCGCTGTTTTTTCGATAAAAATGAAACTTTATATTAAAAAAACTTTAACATCTGAATCATTGAAAGTATTACCCATCGCTAGACACAACTTTTTCCCATTTTCTGGCAGAGCTTGTATACCTTGACGCCAGCAGTTTTCATTTTTTGAGTCTATCCACGAATCAAGCCATTTTTTTATGTCTTCATATGAGTTTAACTGCCGATCAGCCAGGCCTTGTGCCATCGAATGGAACAAGTAAAAATCAGACGGCGCAATATCTGGGGAATACAGCGGGTGGGGTAGGACTTGCCATTTGAGCGTTCCCAAGTAGGTTTTAACAAGCTTGGCAACGTGATGCCGAGCGTTGTCATGCAGTAAAATCACTTTTTCGTGCCTCTGCTCGTATTGTGACCGCTTTTCGCGCAGTGTTCGGCTCAATCGCATCAATTGAGTTCGATACCGTTCCCCAGTGATGGCTTGACGGGTAACTCCTAGTTCTGAAGTAAGCTCTTCTTGAGCTTGGCACGAATCCTCTTCGAACAAGGCCTCCAACTTAGCGTCTTCGAAGGTTTTAGGTCTTCCTTCACTAGGACTGTCGTCAACATCAAAATCCCCGTCTTTGAAGCGACATAACCAATCACGACGTCTTGTTTCGCTCAGAGCAACATTTCCGTACACTTTTTGGAGTTCTCGATGCGCTTGAGCTGCCGTTTTTTTCAAATGGAAGAAGAAAATCAACACTTTCCGCAAATGACGGTTTTTTGGCACAACATTAAGCATTTTTACTTAACCAGAAGTATATAATGCGAAAACGAAATCACTTATGTGTCACAGCCGTTTGATTACCATATGTCTAAGCTTGGTTTGTGAAGTTTTGGATATGTCAAAATCGACCAACTCTTACTGCTAGAGCCATCTACTAACAAACAGCGAGAACTTAGTTGCGCACCTAATATGATTTCGGTACATTCCCTTTCTGAGAGCTGCAGCAAAAAGACGGAAATATAGACAACCAATTTATATAAGAAGCCGACGAGCCTATTTGTATATATTTGTAGACCTCGTTTTTTTAAGTTTGGTTTTTAGGTTGTGTGTGTTACATTACTCTGTGTAAATTAGTGTATTATTAAATGCAAATTTTATCAACAGTTACTCCAAATTTGACAAAATACCATAACATAGCTTGGTTCCTTTTTCCCCCAACTAACAAACTAATTCAATTCTCGCGAACCATAATTAAAGATTGCAAAATTATTATGAGTCAATTTCCTCAAGACAATTCTGACCTCAACAATAATGAATCCCAGTTAGTAGACGATGAATTTGCTGATTATTTCGATGTCCCCCAAATTGAGACAATACAGGACAAGGTGGAACAAGAAATTTCTGGATATTCTAATATTAATGTTGCATACACTACTGATTTTAATGCTTTAGCTTGGTGACATTTGAATAAGCAATTTTTTCCGCTATTGCACAAAACAAGCTGCAAAATATTTTGCATTCCAGCGAGCAGCGCGGCTTCGGAATGGACCGTTTCAAACGCAAGAAACTTAAGGGGTTATATCCCTTTTTCAGACTCAAAAAATCAAAAAAGATTTTATGATTTTTTTTTGATGTACATACTTTCAACAATTTGTCTGCAAAATTTTTTAGAGATCGGGGCACTAGAACCTAAGATACAGCCGTTCATAGCGCACGGTGTACATGACTACCTAATGTCCACCTAAAACTTTAAACGCGATTATCTCGGAATCGCATTTTTGAGAAAAGGTTATTGCGGTGAGCACGATATCTCGGTAACCACTACATCGATCAATTTTGGGGGATTGTTTGTAGATACAATAGCTAGTTCGTGAACGAAGGAATTTTATTTTCGACAAATTTTTTTTCTTGTTTTCATGCTCACCGTTAGCCACTATTGAAAAAAGGACTTCTGCGGCAAGGACTATAACTTCCACAGTTATGAAAATTTTCACTCGAAATTTTATACGAATTTACTTAAGGACACGTACTTTGATAACATTTGTATTGTATTTAAATAAAACAATGGTAACATGCTAAAAAAAAATAAATAAAAACCCTGTGTTTCTCTAGTGAAAAAGGTATATAACCCCTTAATAACAGAGAAGCGTTGTCAAAAAGCCACTAACTCAGAAAATATCAACAAAATAATGTTTTTGCATTCCAATTTAAGTTATTTGTATGTTATTGTTAATTTAGAACATAATTAATGTTTCTGTCACTACATTTTTTTGTTTTTATAAATAACAGGTCATGAATATCACTTCGCCACAAATGAGAGTTACTTAGAAGCAGCCCCTATTCCTCTCCCCAGTAATGTGGACGCTGCTGAGACAACTCGATTCTCCCCCATCGTTCTCGTGATATTTCGTCAACAGTTATTCCAGTTAAGGCGTCAATTTTAAGCATCGACATCCCCACTGACAACACTTACAGTACAATCTTAAGCGGGTCAATTAACTCCCAAGATCCCCATGTACAATCATATGATTGTATTGGATTAATTAGCCTCAACTCTGCGATGCAAAGCAATGTTCCTACTCCTTTTGGAGGGATCAACAAATTTTCGCATCTGAACATGCCCGGAGGGCAATGGTCGCAGGAATATAAGTTTATTGCACAAAACCTACATAACTCACACTACAGCGCTCTACGCGATAGTTACCGAGCAGGTTGGGTGACCTACGACCAGAAAGCTTTTCTTGGATGCAAAAGCCGAGGTGAGAAATTATCTACAATAAGTAATTTCAGTTCTTAATTTTTATTTTGTAACTAAATATGCGGGATACATTGGCTACATACACTAGTCGGCATAATTATTAATTAATTAATTATTTTGATGAAAAACAAATTATGCATTTTTTTTTATATTTATTTTACAAAGGTTTTATATAACTTAATGATTTTTTTTCTGTTTTACTTAGTGCTACAAACAAACAAACTTAAAAATAATGAAATCAACATTTTTTCAACAAGTACTTATTAAGTAGTAGTTGAAAAGTACTTATAAACAAATAAAAACGTAAAGGAAAAAAATAATTTAGTAAAATATTATATATAATTTTCTTTAGTTTCTATAACTTTTTGTAAGCGTCGTGGAACAGATTGATTGACCAAACTTTCGAGAATCTCTGGAGATACCTCTTCCCAAAGGGAAGTGATCTCAGAAATTGCCTCCTTTCTAGTTTTATTTAAAGATCATGCTCTTTTGCGTTTAATCATCGACCAGACGTTTTTAATAATATTTAAGTCTGGACTTTGAGGTGGCCAATCCAAGGTTCTAACGCCAACATCCTTAAAAAATGTTGTTATCATCAGTGATGGATTACCGCCTAGGCCCGGGCCTAGGGCGGCACAGCCTGGGGGGCGGCAAATTTTTCAGAATGTCAAAATTGTAAATCTATACTAATATTATAAAGAGGTAAAATTTGTTTGTTTGTTTGTTTGTTTGTTTGTTTGTTTGTTTGCAGCGAATAGGCTCCGGAACTACTGGTCCGATTAAAAAAATTCTTTCGCCGATAGAAAGCTATATTTTCGTGGAGTTAAATAGGCTATAATTTATTTTGAAAAAAATTAGGGATCCGTAAGAAAATTGCAATATTGTCGCATATAAAGTGAGTTGCTACCTCATCACACTGACAAACACGCTTCCGTAGCATTTTAACTCAATTTTTGTGTTCACTGTGAAATTGTGAAAAAAAGAGTTTTTACTCAATTTAAGTTGAACTGTGAAAATTAGGTGGATCGTGCATTTGAGGATAAATTCACCACTCTGTCCATAGTCCAAAATGCTTAGAGGACGACGTGCTAACATTGGCCGCAGACATCCAAGCCAGCAACAAGTATATTCACAAAACTTAAGCGAAGAAAGACAAATGAGCACATGGAGATCATTGGCATCATTCAATCGCTTGGCATTCCAATATGACCCCACTGCGAACTTCAGTGATAATGAAAATTTTTATATTG